AAATACTGTATGTTTATGTTATGTTTATGCATTTGGCAGACGCTTTTATCCAAACCGACTTACAGAGTAGACCCAATATTCCATTTCTCATCACTATGACAATAAGCTATCCAGAGGAGAAACCCTGATCAGAATCAGTAGTGATAGCAAGAGAAAGAGTTAGAGGGGACCACAGAAGGAGCTGTGGGGGGTAGAGGTACGGGTTAGGGTTAGGATAGGAGCCATGGGGGGTAGAGGTACGGGTTAGGGTTAGGATAGGAGCTGTGGGGGGTAGAGGTACGGGTTAGGGTTAGGATAGGAGCTGTGGGGGGTAGAGGTACGGGTTAGGGTTAGGATAGGAGCTGTGGGGGGTAAAGGTACGGGTTAGGGTTAGGATAGGAGCTGTGGGGGGTAGAGGTACGGGTTAGGGTTAGGATAGAAGCTGTGGGGGGTAGAGGTACGGGTTAGGGTTAGGATAGGTGGTTCCTCCATCTTGGAACGACACATTAAACAGTCTGGATGGTCTTAAGCTGGTGAAGGCTCTGCTAGACCACAGTCCACTGATGACCGGAGGGATCGAGCTGTGACATAAGCCTTTGCAAGAGGGTTCAGCTAGATGGGAGCTGTACCATTAGGCACTTTGTGGGCTAGCATCAGGGACTTGAATTTGATACGGGCAGCCAGAGGTAACCAGTGGAGTTCAATGAACAAAGGGGGGTGACGTGAGATTTTTTGGGCTGATTGAAGACCAGACGCGTTCTGGATCATCTATAAAGGTTTTACCGTACAGGCTGGGAGAGTCAGGAGCGCGTTGCAATAGTCTAGGCGGGAGATGACCACAGACTGACCAGGAGCTGGGTAGCATGTTGGGTTAGATACGGGCGGATCTTTCTTATGTTTAGTAATGCGAGGCGACAGGATCGAGAAACAGAGGCAACGTGATCTTTAAAGGTCAGTAATGATCACTGCAAAGCAGAGAGACTGTCACATGTGACCCGTGATTCCACAGCGGGGAACTAGGATTCATGATCAGTGCTTTGAACAGAAAATAATCTGAACCCTTCCAATGTGTGCATGATAGAGAATTTAGGCGTGAATGACAGAAATAGGCTGCATGAGTGGTCTGTACTCCAGAGCCTTACATGTCTGAAAAACCATGTTTAATCCAACTAAAACTTAAATGCCTAGAGTCCATAATTGCTGTGTTAGACTCAATCTCAACCATACAAACTCCCTTTACTTTATCTTAAATTGCATTAACAGTCCTTATAAAGTAGATAGCAGTTCTTTACAGGGAGGACTGATATGTGTTCAGCCTTTGTAAAGCAGGCCCTGAAGGGGCCGGAAAGGGCTGCAGGTTCTCCTCTGCTGATAAGACATTTAACTTGTCATGAAGGTAAGAAAAAAAAAGCAATAGATAAATTCATAAAAATTGAAATAGTGTGTGAGCATCAAGGCTCAAGTCCTGTGCAGTTTGTCACACTCAGACCAAAAGGCACTACTAATATGTGAAATAGGTTTCTGTTAAAGCTCTTCTTTCTAGAATATGTGCAAACTCATCTGACGTACTACATTCAGAGTTTCCCCACTTAAAGTTCTGGTGCTCTCCTCTAAACTCTGACCAGCAGCTCGGTCCAGCTGGAAGCTTCCAGCAGAGCTCTGAGCTCTCAGGCTGCAGCTCTGCTGCTGGCTCCTGTTTTTAGAGCACAACGGGGGGCAGAGCCTTTAGGAAGCAGCTTTTTTAGGACAATTTGGAAAAAAAACTAACTGAGGGTGCTTTCATTCCTGTGTCCACGTGTGATGAGCTCAGAGAAGACACCACGGCATCAGCAGTGGAAGTTGCTGTGTGCTGAGAGCATGAACAGGCTGAGAAGAATCACCTGCTGAGCTCCTTGAGCGTGCTGACATCGATGATTCTGTAGTGGAGGTGGTACATGAACTGTGGCATGTACTTGTCCAGGAACCTCTTGTCTGCATGTACAGAGTTTCCTGGAGAATGAACAGACATGTGATGTCAAACACCAAGAAAAGAGCCGAGCACTCTCACCCAAAAGGGTTCTGATGTGCTGTTTTTTCATTTGAAGCACTGCTGTATCACTAAGATAACCAATGACCTGCTTATCAAAACTACACAGACTGCTCTGTCTGATGTCAATGCCGGCCCCTCTGACTTTCATTTTCTGTTCATTCATATATCTTTTAGTCTTTGTTCCATGTGTCCTTTAAATGTTATGCATCTAAAACAGAATAAAGATCCTTTGGATTCAAGAAACAACAGGAGGATAAGGGCCGACTACCCATTGAGCATCAGGTGGTTTGCTTGATGAAGTCTCTAGAATGAGGGCTGTTAACTTCATTAACAGGTGTTTTCAAATGTCATACATAATGTGGTAACTTTGGGAAAGGTAGACATGCTTTAAACATACGATTTATCATTTGTATACCTAAATAAATGTAGCGTATCATAGTATTGTGTGTGTTCCTACTCACCTGCAAGGGGACATTGTCCAGGTGGAGTGAACTGTCTGACAAACGACAGGAACTCATACTCAGCCTGTTCCAGGGTGATTTTACTGTCCCGCACAGCCTGGGTCAGTCCTGACTAACACAGGAGCAACACAAGAGCTTACAACACACAACACTTTATTGGTGTGCACATATACAAATATATATGTGAAGCAACAAACAACAAAGGAGTAAAGAATATGTGGAAACTAGGATAGAATGTGTGGGTGTGTTCATGTGTGTATACACATAGTATGCATATCAACTCCCGTCTTTCAGTGCAACACAGCGTACCTTTCCATGGTGCTCTTTACACCAATCTGACATCCCGTCCAGAAGCTCGTCGGGCTGCTTGATAATCAAGTTGGGCCCCTATCAGTCAACATAATTGTTTAATGTACAGGACAGACAGGGAAGAATATGCGACACTTTTAATGTTTACATTACCTCAGCCAAAATGTTCAGATCAGAGTCTGTGATAATGCATGCCATTTCAATTATCTGGTCCTTCTCAATGTCCAGACCTGTCATCTTAAAACAAAGAAAATATAGACATTACACAGATGCATTGCAGGGAAATAAGTGATTGGTGTATTTGTCTTTTTTGCAAATTTTCACCTCTTTTGTAATGTTCAAATGAAGTCAGCCAAACCCCACATTTACTGTGACTTTACCTTCAGAGTGTATTTTCTTGGGTCATGGTAACAGAAAAGTACACCAAAATACTTGATGTAATGTAATTGTGGCAACAAAAAAAAAGTATTGTCACATACGTAGTATATTTACACTATTTTTAAATGAGTGCAGTGAAATACTGTTTCTATAAAACAACATTGTAGTTTGAAACTAATTACACTGATTGAGAAACAGACTGTAGCTGATGAGGACAACGCTTTAGTGGACTGGTGGCGGTTTGCCCAATCAGAGGCAGCCTCTTTCACATGTGACAGCGGTGTCTTCCGAACCGGAAGAGGCACCGGAAGTAAAACTGGTAGCTGCCATGGCTAGTAATGCAGCTTCATAAAGCTTTGAAGCGTTCCATCCAAAGTTTCACGGGGCTTCATTTGCTCTGTTGGGCCATCTAGTGGACAGTAAATGTAAAACGTGCAGTGAGATAATAATGACACACTGGCTTTGGTGTCTGGAGCACTGAATTAATTAAAGAAAGACAAGAGCAATCCGCTTTGAAACAACTTTCCGTCTCGTCTCTGTGGTAACAGAATGTGAATTGCGCTGCAAAAAAAGTGCTCATTGAAAGAAATTCATTTCCGTTTACTCTTTTTTCGACACGCGTTCGGTGTTGCTTTAGTACCAATGACACAGATACAGTAACACAATAATTCCACATCAAAATATATTCACTATTTAACTCCACGCCGCTTTTAGCTTGGTCACTTGCCTCCAGGTCCACCCACACCATTCGCTGGGACATGGATGAGGAGGACATGCTGCTGACTCGTGAACCCGCAGCGTCAGCCACAAAACCAGGCCCAGAGCGAATGTCGGGGCCTGACCACGGCTTTCTGGAGCGATCTGAGACGATGCTAACGAATTGTAGCAAACGGTGTCTCTGCCTGAACGCCGGCACGAGCAACCTGAAAGTTGCAACCGGACGCAAGCATCCTGTCATGATAACCAGACTTCCGGTGTTGTGCCAAACGCCGACGCTTCTTCTTCTTGATATTTTTGGCAGTTGGCAAACAACAGAATTGTGCATTGCCGCCACCTACTGGTAAGGAGCGGAATTTCCCTCTGGAATTCAATTCTACTCTACAACTTAGTTCATTTTAAATAACAAAATATGAATACATTTTACTTTCCTGAATATATAGACAAGATGTAATTAAATTTGAGTTATATTCCATATTTGAACTAATTGTTGTGTAGCTGTTCTGTGTGTGAGATGGACTATGGACTGTGTGGGAACTTGCCAGAGCTCAAGTCCGGGCAGCCTGGCAGGGGGCGAGTGGTGAGACCTCCGTCCCATTTGCAGGACTTTGTCATGTTTTGAAGTTCTAGTGTTCTTGGGCCAAACAGCTAAACC